CAGTTCCATCCATGCCGTTGCAAATGGTAAGAGTTCCTTCCTTTTTAGAGCAGCATAGTATTCCATTGTGTAGATGTACCACAGTTTTCTAATCCATTCATCTACTGATGGGCACTCAGGCTGTTTCCAGATCTTAGCTATGGTGAATTGTGCTGCTATGAACATAGGGGTGCATATATCCTTTCTTATTGGTGTTTCTGGTTTGTTGAAGTGAACTGCAAAGAACACTTGAAAGCACACTAGGTTGTGTCAAAACACCAGGATTCTAGTCTCACTTCTGCCACAATCTAAGGTGATCACTTCCCATCTCTGAACTTTTGTTTCCTCATTGGAGGAATCAGAAATGTCTTTAAGAGTTGGAATTGCTGATAGTAAAATGTTCCCTTTTTTTCATAGATTTTTCCCAACGCGCAGGGCCATACCCACCCCCTTCCTGAATGTGCGTTTATAGCTTCCTCTAACCTTCTCTAACCTTTTTCAAAGTCTTTTCCTATTGACTATTTCACTTGACCCTAGAAATAATTATGGAAGCCTGGTAAATGTAACTTCAAACAGGACAATTCTTCATTATGGAAGACAGAAGAATATGTGGTGGTGTGATAATTGAGCAAGTGCTGAGCAGGGGATTAAAGCAAGTTTTTTCACTAAATACCTTATATAGTTAGTTAGACTTTTGAATTATGTGAATATGGTATCGATTTAAAATCAAAGATAGTAAATACAACCAAATGAATGGCATTGTTTCCCATTTCAAATCCTTAAGAGCAGGTGAGTTATGGACCCAAGGCCAGTGGACAGATCACCCCATCCTGTAATTGCTGTACGAAAAACCTTCTGGCTAAGTGCACTTGCAAACAATCAAGAGCAATGAAGGCTACAAAGCACCACTGTAATTTATCTTCCAAGTGCCTTAATCAGGTTCACTCCCAGGCAGAAGAGCATAAAAATAAACCTAAACTTCATAGCATATGCCACACAAAAAAAGAGGTGAAGATTTCAGACCCTAATGTTGACCAACTGATTTCTACCTGTCATCTTGTAGCCCCTCACTATACAGTCCTGACATAGTGGATGATCCCTGCCCAGAGGAACAGTGCAGAGATAACAGGCCTAAAACTCAGTAGATTTAGTGACAGATTTAGTAATGTTGTCAATACGTCTTCTGTATCCTTATCTGTACTACCTGCCCTTTCTTCCTTTCCAGGTAGTTCTCATAACTATCAATTAAATGAGGCCTGTGCAGCACTAAATGTAGATCAGAGGTTATATTAACTTTGCAATCATGGCCATGGCTTTCATTGAGGAGTTTCATCATCACAAGATAGCACAATATAGAGTACTAGTGGCCTGGTACATGAAATTCATGCACAGGTGCGGTCCCTAGGCCTGGCCTGCAATCGAAGCACGAGCCTCTGGGTGAAAGGGCAGGTTCCGGCTGACCTCTGGGCCCTGGGCAGCACCTGGGCCCCTGGGGACCTGCGTGACCCCCTCCGCCTGAGTCATGGCGCCCAAGTCCCCACGCAGAATTTCAGTGAGTGCTGCCAGACGCCTTGGGCCAGGGCACAGCCTGAGCCTCTGGGCCCGCACAGAAGTCGGGCGGGCAGCACGCTCTCTCCAGGCCGGCCTCGCAGACCAGCTCCTGTACCCACCAGGAGCCCGATGGGCCCCTGTGGTCCTACTGGCTGCGGCCTGGTTCACCCAGAAGAACCGGGTGGGTGTGGGGCGGCTCCTCTCAGGGCATCTGGCCCCAGCCCCCAGGTAGCCAGTGAGAGGTCACGCATCACCAACACCCGTCATGTTCCGTGCGCCCCCTGGTGGTCAGCGCATGTCATAGCAAGCAGGTGACCTCCCATTGGTCGAGGGGACAATTTACATATTACGCTTTTATTATATAGGACTAGTGGCCTGGTGCACAAAAATTTGTGCACTCGGGGGGGCATTCCTCAGCCCAGTAGCCTGTGCCCTCTCGCAGGCTGGGACCCCTTGGGGGATGACCACTTGCTGGCTTAGGCCTGCTCCCCGGGGGATTGGGCCTAGGATGGCAATCAGACATCCCTCTGGCAGCCTGGCAGCCCTCCAGGGGTGTCCACTTGCCAGCG